GGGGGGGGGGGGGGGGGGGGGAGATAAAAAAAACAAAATGGCAGCCATGATTACACAAACAAAGCTCCACACCTTTTTTAATGAGTGTTCAATGTGTGCAATATAGGTGATGCACATAAGAAGGGTGGAACTTCAATTACATGGTTGTACCTGCTGACTCCAGCCCCACCCTCACCCCCCATGGTCATCCCTGCTGAACTTTTACCCATTTTGCCTTTCCTTCCTTCCTTCCTTCCTTCCTTCCTTCCTTCCTTCCTTCCTTCCTTCCTTCGTTCCTTCCTTCCTTCCTTCGTTCCTTCCTTCCTTCCTTCGTTCCTTCCTTCCTTCCTTCGTTCCTTCCTTCCTTCCTTCGTTCCTTCCTTCCTTCCTTCGTTCCTTCCTTCCTTCCTTCGTTCCTTCCTTCCTTCCTTCGTTCCTTCCTTCCTTCCTTCGTTCCTTCCTTCCTTCCTTCGTTCCTTCCTTCCTTCCTTCGTTCCTTCCTTCCTTCCTTCGTTCCTTCCTTCCTTCCTTCCTTCCTTCCTTCCTTCCTTCTTCTCTTTCTCTTTCTCTTTCTCTTTCCCTCCTCCTCCTCTTCTTCTTCTTCTTCTTCTTCTTCTTCTTCTTCTTCTTCTTCTTCTTCTTCTTCTTCTTCTTCTTCTTTCCTCATACAGTTTTAGGAAATGGAGCTTGCAGGAATATTTCTAAGGCAGGCAAGGTCTGCCAATGTTCAGACACCAGATCTAAGCAAAGTATAAGCATCTTTTCATTGGTGGGTAGCTATAGGTTGTTCCTTTGCTCAGCAGCAATTACTGAAGTTAATTTCCTCTCAACAGGACTTGTCAATCCTGAATGGCGCTGATAAAAGAACTGCCTCTTTTATTCATTCCCATTTAAACAATTAAATGCAGTATATTCCATCTAGTATGGATAACTAAGATTATACTTGCCTACAGAAATATTTGCTAAAGCTGTCGCCAAGTAATGTATTAAAGCCAGCACTTCTTTCTCTTCTTAGGCAACACCCAGGCACATCACTAACAATCTCTAAGAAAGATCCAATTTAGCGAGAAAGAATAAAGGGGGAATTAATCTTCCTGTTACCCTTGACCAAGGTCAGCTGTTTTCTCTTAGTGAGGTACTTTCCAAGCTTTTGGGACTCACTTGGAATTCATTCCTTGTTTCTTTGGATGAGACTCTGTGTGGACACAATCGTTTTCAATGCTTGAAAGGTAAGCCTCACAGCATTGATTGTACCTGGTTGATGTAGGCTGACTGTCAGTGATCATAAGTGACAACATCGACCACACAAAAATCAAACAACATTCTCCCAACCTTATCATGCCAATCAGATCAATTCAGCTCACAGAGGAAGACAGGAGAGTGATCCCAGTTTCTACAATACACCACCCTCAAAGGTTTTGTGCAAATAATCCTAGAGCATGGCATGTCAGGAAATCCGGGTGCCTTTTTTGTGTTTTTCTATCAAAGGATGGTAAATGGAGCAAAAAGGGCATTCAGTACTTGCTGACAACACTGAATATGCAGTGATGATGATAGCATTCTGGAGTCTGTATTAGAAGTTGCCATAGTTAAATCAAGGAACCTTCAGTTCTAGGGATAGATGTCCTATGGTAAGGGCCAGCAACCTATTGTTAATCTTCACCTCCTAGCAATCACACCCAGCTTGGCCATGGGAGTTGTAGTGCAATACAACAAGCCTTTATATGATGAGCTAGCAAAAAAGAACCTTTGTACTTAGTGGAAATGAAGTATTCTCAGATCTGGACTAACCCAGACCTACCAGCACCATCCATTGGACCTCCAGAATTAAAGCTAGGAAATTATAAATATATATATATATATTTTAAAGGTATTTTTACTTAGGCTGGGAACCTAAATGCATATTTAATTGTGTCCACTGTGTTTTGGACAATGATGCCCATTCATCAGGGAAATTCAGATAAAAAAAGTTTGCACATTTCAACATTTTCTCTTCAATTTTCTGGGCACAAGAAATACAGGATATCTTCAGTGCTTCATGAACGCACTCTGTGGGCATGATAGGAACTATCAATATCTAACTGATGAAACAAAAATAATTTACATAATCCTGTGTTTCTTTATTCACATCATGAATCTAGATATACATTAGAAATGATTGAAAAGGGGCTACCGTATATTTGGTTGCTTTTCTAGGGCAGAGGAAACAAAGATCTTTTGTTACACTCAAGAAATTAAAGTATTCCTCAATATGAATTGACTTCAAGAGTTGTCTTGATATCTTCAGGTACAGTTTGGACTTCATAAAGGCATGGACAATGCTAGGTTGCAATGTAGCCTGGTGACCATGAGGGTTGAAGGAGGCCATCCGTTAATTGACATTATGAAGTCACTGAAAAAGTAGGGATACATTTATTCAATCTCTTTGGGGGTTGAGGGAGTGGTAGAGTTTTTAGGATGAAAATGGGAGAAAGATGCCTCTAGGAGACAAACCATTCTGATACCCCTTTAAACCCTCCAGCTACAACAAATGGCCTGAAATTACATGGCCGGAATTCATCCATTGGCTTTAATGAGGTTGTGACATGTATATAGTGCAACAGACATAGATGATCAAGGGTCAACTTTATTCGTCTGCAATCTTTCATGTCTGGGTGAAAGATAGTTTGGTCTAGTGGTTAAGGTGCTAGACTTGGAACAAGGAGACCAGAGTTCTACTCCTATTATTATTATTATTATTATTATTATTATTATTATTATTATTATTATTGCTGCTGCTGCTGCTGCTGCAAGAAGATTGCACAAAGTGACTACGAACAACAGCATGACAAAGTAGCAACAATGGTGCATTGGAATATCTACAAGAAATACCATTTGCCTGCAAGCAAGAACTGGTGGGGCCACAAAACAGACCAAGTAATAGAAAATAAAGAAGCTAAAGTGCTCTGGGACTTTAGAATTCAAACAGACAAGCACCTGCCACAAAACATCCCAGAGTTAACAACTGTTGATAAGAAAGAAAAAAGTCTGGATAATGGACATTGCAATACCTGGAGACAGCAGAATAGAAGAAAAATACAAAGACCTGCAAATAGAAGTAGAATGACTGTGGCAAAAGAAAGCAAAGATAGTACCAATAGCAATAGGCACCCTGGGTGCAATCCCAAAATATCTAGAGCACCACTTGAACACCATCAGCACTGACAAAATCACCATCAGTCAATTGCAAAAGACAGCTTTACCTGGAACAGCTTACATCCTGTAACGATACCTTTAACACCATCAAACCACAACATCT